TACAGAAAAACTTACAACAAACAGACTTAATGTTCAAACATGAAAACTTTTCTTAAAATATGGGGAATATGACAAGCGTGTTTATTTTGCTGTGAACACTTCTGACCAATACTGTTCTATAGATCACAGTGAGTGTAGTCTGGCAAGACAAAGCTATACAAGATAAGCATTTTAAAGAGGAAAAAACAATACTCTTATCATTTGTATTTAGGGATTACAATTACGTATGTAGGGATTGCAAGCAATCTGTAGATAGATGCTAGGAAGTTTAGACTAATCAATATAAACATTTTTAAATTTTTATTGCTAGTAATTGTGTAAAAATGAAAAGTTACTATTTGCAATCTCATTAGAAAAACGTTACTCAAAGTCTAAGAAGTCTCGTTATATTTATGCAGAAAATATTAAAACTTGATTGACAAACATTAAAGAAACATTAAATAAATGGAAATAAATATTTTTCAATTGTCTTTTCTTCTACAAGGTGGGACCACTTGCTCTACTAGTTATTAAGGCCTCTTAGGGTTAAGAAAATTTGATATTGGCAGAAGACTAGACAAATAGATGAATGGAATGGAGCCCAGAGCCATAAATAAATGCACACACACGGATGCCTAATTTATGGTAAAAGAGGCAGTGCAGATGCTGTGAGGAAAAGATGACCTTTTTAATAGATAATGCTAGGAAAATTGGATATCTCTTTAGTGGGAAAAAAACCTAGATCCCTCTACACACCATACAAAACAATTTCATTGGATTTTAGATCTATATTTGAAAGATAAAACAACGATTTTAGAAAATAATATGGGAGAGAGAATTTGGAATAGGCAAGTAGGCCTTGAATATTACGTCAGGTAGTTTGGACTTTTAATTTTCGACATCATAGGAGTTGCTGAAGGATTGTAATCCAAGGGTTGGCCATTGATATATTTTAAGTTAGATTGTAATTCTGTTTCTGGCCATGTCTGAGTCTTTATCATCTGAAGACTTTGCAGTTACGAGACATTTAAAAATACAGATAAATTCCATCAAACACTTGAAATGCCAATCTGTATTTGGAAAATACTAAGGGAAAATTGGAGGTTAAATATGAACTTATATTTGAGGCTACTTATACTTCCAACCACTTTATATCTTTAATGAGAAACCTAGGTCACTAATTTTCAGTTATTCAATTTGTAAAGAAGAATCACACATCCTTCCTTCACACATACAATGGGTATCTAGCATTTTGGTTCTGCTTATAGATTTTGGAAACACAACTAGAGCAGTGTGTTTGGGAAGGAGAATGATTTCTGTAACATGTTGAACATATTGGAGAAGTTATTTCAGGCAGCTGTTAGCAATAAGAGTAAAGGAATAGAAATGAGAGCAGTTGGAAAACACTAGAAAGAATATTGTTACTAGAACTATGGTTTTGTTATAATTAGACATGAAACACTTATATTCAGAAATGTTTAAGTCATACTTTTAAAAAACTACTCTAAAATATGCAGAAAATAATTTTGAGTTGAACATAAAGTGGTAGCCATTCTAAAGAAATTGTCCAAAGGTGTAACAATAATGCAAATCTAATGTAACAGAAACTAAACATCATATACGTTTCCAGACATTTAAAACCTCCCAGATTGCTATCTATTAAAAACAAACTACTGTATTTTTTCTTTAAAAAAAAAAAAAAAAAAACAGCTTTATTGAGATACAGTTCAGTGATAGCAGCAGTGGCCCATCTGGAGTGGCCACCATCACACCTGCTACAGTGGGGAGGTGTGGCTCGGGATGCACATTCCACAGAGCTGGTGAAAGTGGGGCACAAGTGGGAATTCCACTCCTTTTGAGTTGGTGGGATGAGGGCTTCTTGGGTGCAGCTGCAAGCTGCCCAAATCATGGCTGTGGACCTGGGCCTCCCTGTACTTTTGTGGGGGGCCTCTCTGTACTCTTGTGGGGGGGCCTCTACTCTTGTGGGGGGCCTGGGAGCAGGCAGGAGTCCTGCCCTCCTGGGCACGGCTATAGATGCCCAAGTCATGGCCATTTAACCTGGCATCTTTGCACTCTGGGGGGGCTAGGAAGGCCTCCCCTGTCTCCACAGGCTTGGAGATGTCTGCTCCCACTGCCTGGCCTCTCCCCACTCCTGGCCTCCACATTGATCTTGGAGCAAGGTTGGGGCCAAGCCAGGACACTGTTGCAGTCTGGCTGGTTGTGTGCATGCCCAGGGTTAGTGCTGCATGCTAGCTCCCTGCTGCCTCAGCCCCCTCCCAACTTTGGGTGCTGATGAGCCTGCGAAGGGAACCGAGGGGGTGGCTGAGGGCAGCTTGGCTCTGACCTGCAGGTGTCCCTTGGCACAAACTGCTTGGACACCATGAATGGCAGCAGGAGGCAGACAGGCTCGTGGGCAGGAGGAGGCAGGTCCCTAATGAGGGTCAGGGGCTGGGCTGCCAATCCCACAGACTGGAGTGGGAACTTGTGGTGCCTTTTCTGGGCCTGCCCAAAGCCACCCATTGACCAGTTGGGGTGCACTTACTTCCCTCTGAATCCCGTAAAAGCCCCAGCTCAGCCAGAGCTGAGTGGACATGAGGAGGACCAACTGTAGAGAGGAACTACCCCCTCCAGGGCCATCTCTCTCTGCTGAGAGCTGTAGATGTCAGGATGACCAGCTGCAGAGAGAAGCTACCCACTCCAGGGCCTCCTCTCTGCTGAGAGCTGAACACTTGACATGATGTCCTGCCTGTAGAGAGGAGCTACCCACTCCAGGATCTCCTCTGAGCTATTGTGTCACTCAGTAAAGCTCCTCTTTGCCTTGCTCACCCTCCACTTGTGCACATACCTTGTTCTTCCTAAATGCAGGATAAGAACTCAGGACCTGTCAAATGGTGGGGCTGAAAGAGCTGTAATACAAACAGGGCTGAAGCACACCCCTTGTTCGGCATGTTGTGGGTGAAGAGGAGAGAAAAACTATGGTCCTTCAGGGAGCCCAGACCTGGGAGCTCCCTGAGCCAGGACTGTGACTCCCTCTTTGGGTCCCCGTGGTTCCTAGAGTCTCCAAGCTTCCAGGCACCTCTCTGTTTCCCAATGACAGCCATGGAAGCTGCTTGCAGTGTACCTGGTCCAGCCACAACCTCACAGAGAGCCATCACCTGTCCAACCTTGGAGCTGCTTGTCCCACTGCAGCAACCGGCATGCCTGACTGCTCAGTGGCTGCACCTCATGCTCACTCAGACACCCCTTGCTGCTCCATGCCTGGCTTGCCCTTGGCAGGCATGGGATCTAGGCCAGTAGTGTGAGTAAGCGCAGTCTGCCAGGCTGGGTGGGTGGAACAAGCCCAGCAGGTCTAAGCAAAACTGGGGCAGAGCCACCACCAGCCACAGAGTTTTCCAGCCAGAAAATCGACCCCCATAAAGATCCCGTAATAACAGCTGTACAGTTCACTCTTTCTTTTTTTTTTTTTTTTTTTGAGGTGGAGTTTTGCTTTTGTCACCAAGTCTGGAGTGCAGTGGTGCAGTCTCAGCTCACTGCAACCTCTGCTGCCTCCCGTGTTCAAGCAATTCTCCTGCCTCAGCCTTCCAAGTAGTTGGGACTACAGGTGCCCACCACCATGCCTAGCTAATTTTTGTATTTTTTGGTAGAGATGGGGTTTTACCATGTTGGCCAGGTAGGTCTTGAACTCCTAACCTCAGGCAGTCTGCCTGCCTTGGCCTCCCAATGTGCTGGGATTACAGGTGTGAGCCACTGCGCCCAGCCCAGTTTACTCATTTCAACTGCTTAATTCAGTGACTTTCAGTATATTTACAAAGTTGTAATAACCATCCCTACAGTCAATTTTAGAACATTTTTATGACCCCAGAAACCTCATATAAACCCTTTAACCATCACTCCCAACATTCTCCTTATCCTCCCAAGCTCTAGGCAACTTCTAATATACTTTCTTTTTCTATAGATTTGCCTATTTGAGATATCTTGTATAAATGGAATCATAGAATATGTAGCCTTTTGTGTCTGGCTTCTTTAGCACAGTGTTTTCAAGATTTATCCATGTTGTAGCTATCGGTACTTCATTTATTTTTATTGAGGAATACTTCCATTGTATGGATATACCACATTTATTCTATTCACTTATCAGTTGATGGACATTTGGGATTCTTCTACTTTTTTGGCTATTATGAAAATTGCTGCTGTGAACATTTGTGTGTTAAGTTTCTTTGTGGATATTGCTGGATCATTTGGTAACTATGTTTAACAGAGGAACCGCAATACTCTTTTTTCCAAAGAGGAACATCAATTTATGTTCCTGCCAATCAGTCAGTGTATGAGTGTTCCAATTTCTCTACATCCTCATCAAAAGCTGTTAATTATCTGTCTGTCTGATTATAGTCATTCTGGTGGTTTTGAAGTGGCATCTCATTTGGTTTAATCTACATATGCTTGATGACTATTGATGTGGTTTTGTATATTGTCTTTCGAAAAATGTCTATACAAATTTTTTGCCTATTTTTAAAAAATATTTTTTGTTTTTAGAGATTTGGTCTTGCTGTGTTCCCCAGGCTGATCTCAAACTCTTGGGCTCAAGCAATCTGCCCACCTCAGCCTCCCAAAGTGCTGGGATTACAGGCATGTGCCACTGTGCCTGGCCCTTTTGCCTACTTTTAAATTTTATTATTTGTCTTTATATTGTTTAGTTGTTCAGTTGTGATTGTTCATATATATTATCAAATATATGATTTACAAATATTCTTAGGTTATAGTTTTACTTTCTTAATAGTATCCTTTGAAGCAGAAAAGTTTTTAATTTTGATAAAGTTCATTTGTTTTGGTTGCCAAGGTTTAGGTGTCTACTATATTTTCCGAATGCCTTTGAAAATAATTTTTGTAAATCACTTGATCCTGCATTAAAATATAATAACATGCTATAGTTATTTTATTAGCATTGAAAACATAAAAATTATTGTACGCAGCAGTGTTTACAATGCTTTCTTTTTTAAAATTGTCTGAAAATTATTTTACAGCTCTATAGTATCAACCCTTCTTGCTCTTATGGATGGATTAGATAATAGGGGTGAAATTGTTGTTATTGGTGCTACAAACAGACTTGACTCTATAGATCCTGCACTCAGGAGACCTGGTCGTTTTGACAGAGAATTCCTGTTCAACCTGCCTGATCAAAAGGTAAGAGTTTTTGTTTTCAGTATGTTAATATTTATATGTAATTCCATAAGGCATATGTTCTGAGGTGATAGTGTATGAATTTTCATTGTTCATATTTTGTGCTTATAGGATATCTTAGTTAATACTTTAAAAATCTTACGTAATTATGGAACAGTTTTTTTTCAATTAACAATTATAAGAAAGTTTATGATTTTTAGGCAGTAAGAGGAAAGCTCTTGATTAGGTCACTGTAGATGTTTACGTGCGCTTTAGTTCTCTGGATTGTAGTAGTTGTCCTATATGACAGGTTATGTCTCTAGTTAGCCAAAGTAATTTTATTCTCATAAAATAATGTTTTTATAGAGTATTAGTGGGTTTATGAACAAGGACTCAATACCCAAATTTTCACAGAAATTGCTATATTTAATTAAAAGCAACAAATGTTATTCATTATGGTATAAAGTGTTTTTAAAGAATGTATTAACACAGGGCAATGTTTATCATTGATTATGTGAATGTTTTTTAATATGATATACAAAGTTCTTTTTTCCTAATTCAACTTGAAATTTTTAATATTATCTTGGTTTGATTAGTATCATCTGATTGGCTTTTCGTTAGAAAGTCATATTTGAGACGAAGAGATATATGCAGAGGAGATACTGTATGTGAACATGTGTTGTTGTATGGCTTTGTTCTTAGACCTCTGTGCAATGCCTGGGTTTAATATACCTAGATGTGAAAATCTTAGTGATTAGGACTGTATGGAAGACAATAGAGAAACAAATGGCTTCCCAGTGCAGAGCAGTTTATACTTGAGATTGACATCAGTCTCCACATTCACCACTAGTTGACTCAGATTTGGATTGACAATCCAATTTACAGGCTTTAAATTGGCACCAGGTTTACCTGGTTTTGTCAGGACAGGAAACATAGCATATACAGCATTATTTTCATTGCCAAAGTGCAGCCTTCAGGAATGTATCATTGAATATTGGTGTGTTTATTTGTAGGAGATAGGACTGAAGTAGGTACAGTCTACTTTAGCATGGGGAAGCATCAGCTTTTATTTTTTGGGACATATAACAATCCAAGCACAGCTTTTATGCTCTTCATTACATGGGGAAATATGCTTAGTTCTGAGATACAGAACAGGAAAACCATTTCCTTGATTGTCTTCTGTACTGTCTTAGTTAAGTAGGCCTTAGAGTCTATATGCTAGTCACAGCCTCACAGTCCAGGTTCATTTCACACAAATCAAAGGATTAACAGTAATCAAGGTCTAGAACAATACTGTCTAATAGAATTTTCTGTGATGATGGAAATGTTCTTTATTGGCATTATTCTTTGAGCAGTGTGCAATGTGGTAGCGACTAGCCACATGTGGCTATTGAGCACTTAAAATGTGGCTAGTGTGATTAAAGAACTGCATTTAAAATTTTGTTTAGTCTTAGTTAATTTAAAATTTAAATAAAATAGCATTGTGTGGCTCATGGCTTACTATATTGCACAGCATGGATCTTGAACATAGTTTTCCACAGTAACTTTCCCTTTCTAACATTTCTAGGAAACAGTTTTATGATACTGAAATCTAAGGTCATTTTTCTCAGGCCGGAGTTTGTGGAAAGGCCTACGCTGGCTATTTATCTTTTTCCCTTAAATAGTTTTTAAGGTCCTGAGACTAGATGAGATTACCAAATCTTCTGTCTTACAGAGCAGTCAGTAAGGCAAGAGGAAAACTAAGAGAGTGGGGTGGTCTGGAAGCCAAGTGAAGAAAATGTATCAATGAGGAGGGTGTGATTAAACATGTCATAAGTTGCTAAGTCCATTCAGCTGAGGACAGAAAATTGGTCATTGTATTTATCATTTTGTAGGTCATCAAATCTGATGAGAACAGTTTCAGTTAGTAGTGGGTACAAACGCTTAATTGGAGTGTGTTAGTTCAAGAGAAAATGAGAAGGAATTGGAGGGAGTGAATATAGATAGGTTTTAAAAAGAGTTTTTCTGCAAAGGGAAGCAAAATATTAGGCGATATGATATTGAAGGAAGCAGGAACAAGATAATGTGTTTCATTGCTTTTAAGATGGAAGAAATATCCAGTAGGAAAGGGAATTTTTGTGTGAAATTGAGAGATGTCCTCAATAGGCAAAAAGCGATAGGATTTAGCATAAAAGTGGTGTTAATGACTTTATCTAGGAGCTGGCTAGTTCATCTGTGACAGTAGAGAGAAGATAGAATATTGTTGGTACACATGCTGATGGTTGAACATCTTTGGTGATTAGGATGTGGGGAGTCTGTGGAAGTTTTTTTCTTATTGCTTCAGTTTTCTCAGTGAATTAGGAGGCAAGGTTATCAGTGGAGTGTGAAGATGTGCTGTAAAATAGTTTGCTAGGAATAAGGTGTAATGAATGGCCTAGGGAAGTGTTAAGGGTAGTAAAAAGAACCCATTCGGGTCATTAATTTAAAGTGTTACCAGTCAGTGTCTTACTCCTGTGGTTTGACCAATAGAGTATCATGACTCTTGCTATTTGATTAAGTAAAAGATTAATAAAAGTAAATCTTGGTTTCAAATTTTAACACCTTTGTTACTATTTGCATAAAATATACATTTTCTATATGCAATAATGCTTTTAAATTTATTTTCCTTTATCATCATCATCATAATTTTTATGATTGTTATAAGTAATATATGTTTGAATGTATACTTGTGGATTCTGAAAAATGAGGGGCTTGAATTTGCCTTTGACATTTAATAGTAGAGGAAGGTACTTTCTGTTACAGGAAGCCATTTGACTTCCTATTTGGTATGCCATATAGAGTAAAATATGTAATGAACATTTCTTGATTTCTACATTTAAATAATTTTTTCTTCATTCTAGGTAGTGTTTTTAGTGTGACAAAAAGAAGGTGACTTTGATTGGATTATATAGGGAAAGAGCATGGAACTTAAATGTTTTAGGGACCTGAAAATAACTTGCTAACCTTAGATATAATTATATATTTCATTTTTTAAAATCTCCTTTTAGAGAAATGAGAGGATAAGAATGGATCTCTTTTTGGGATATCTTCCAGCATAATTTTTTTGACATTTTCTTAATTTTTTAAGGGTCTTGTAATGAGCAGTACCTGTGCTGCTAATGAAGTTTATATAGATATTTAATGTCATCTTACAGAATATATATGCTGTTAGGTTGACATTTCTTTTGGACCTTCTTTTTTTAGTATGTGTTCAGGCAAATACTTCAAGTTGGAAGGAAATAAGTGTCATATCATTGCTTTAAGTTTCATAGCTGAATGCCTAACTTAGAACTTGGAATTGAAGCTGTAGCTATTGATTCCAGATTTGGTCAACTTTTTGAGCAAGATTTATCTTCATGACTTTGAAGTTGTTCTGTTTTGTTTTGTTGCTGGACCCCAAATTCCTCATCAAGCCAGTAAGATGTTATCATCTTGGTTATAATTTGTTTTTTCATGTCTCAAGAAGCTTAGATAGCAGTGTTGAGGGAACAAACATACTCAATTTTTAAGAAGTGTTGTAATTTTCCCCAAGGAAGACAAATGTGAAAACAAAATTCTCATCTGACTGTTGTTGGTGGTAGTATCAGCTGATTATAGATTCTTACATGTTAGTGGTTTTTTAAAAAAACTATTTTAGGCATGGTGCAGTGGCTCACGCCTATAATCCCAGCACTTTAGGAGGCCAAGGAGGCAGATCACTTGAGGTCGAGAGTTCAAGACTGGCCTAGCCAACGTAGTGAAGCCTCATCTCTACCAAAAATATAAAAGTTAGCCAGGTGTGGTGGTGGATACCTGTAATCCCAGCCATTCCGGAGGCTGAGTCATAAGAATTGCTTGAACCTGGGAGGCTGAGGTTGCAGTGAACTGAGATCTCACCACTGTACTCCAGCCTGAGCAATAAAGCGAGGCTCAGTCTCAAAAAACAAAAACAAAAAAGCTATTTTAGAAAAATAAATTTGTTTGTTGTAGAACCAATATGTTAAAATTTTGATTGTGCTATGCAGTCAAATTTAAGTGCTATGCAGTCAGATTTAAGCTAGAGAATGCTGAAATCAATGTAAAATTGTTTATAACACTTAGATCTTTCAATGCATTTAATTGATATTTACTGAAATTACCTCGTTAGGTATTAAATGCCAAAGCATCAAGTAACTGACAGAGTAATAATATGCATTATATATATACATTTTTATTTTATATTTTTTCTTTAAGACAGGGTCTCACTGTCTCACCCAGCTTGGAGTGCAGTGGCGTGATCACAGCACACCGCAGACCTTGACCTCTCAGGCGCAAATAATACTCCCACCTCAGCTTCCTGAGTACCTGGGACCACAGGCGTTCCCATGCCCAATTAATTAAAAAACAATTTTTTTTGTAGAGACAGGGTGTCACTATGAAGTCTACTATGTTAGCCGTCAAATCCTGGACACAAGTGATCCTCCCACCTCGGCATCCCAAAGTGCTGAGATTGCAGGTGTGAGCCACCACAACTGGCATGCATAATATTTACTTAAAATTGAAAACTGGTCAAATAAAAACTTTTTTCAAGTTACTTGTCATTTTGCTCATTGTCAATCATAACACCACAAATCTATGAAGTTAAAGTTTGTTTAAAATTATGACCATAACTATTATAACATAAAAGTTTTTTATTCATATATTTTCAAATGGTAGAAGTGGTATGGTAGAAAAGTGAAATTTGGTTTTGAATTCTAGTCCCAGATGAGTCATGGTCGTTATATGCTGCTAGTCAATTTTCTTCACCTCTTACAGCATTAAATGTCTTAGATTGTGAAACAGAGACAAGATCTCTACTATGTATCTCCCAGTTTACTGTTGGAATCAAAGTTGATGTAGATAGATGCTAAGGTGTTTAAATTTTTTTTAAAAATAAAAATTTTAATGGGATATGGTTAGTCAAAATTGGTTTCACCTAACATATTTGAGGGATTGATAATATTTTATTTGTACTTTTCTTCTTGGGCAAGACTTTATATACCTGTGCTTTTCATCTTAGGCAAGAAAACACATCTTACAGATCCATACCAGGGACTGGAATCCAAAATTGTCAGATGCTTTTTTAGGTGAATTGGCTGAAAAATGTGTAGGTGAGTGTTACCGTTTGAATTCTTTGATAGTCATTGTTCTGCTAAGCCTCCCTTTGCCCTTATGTTTGGAATGTGAATGAGCATAGTTATGTTTTTGATTGTGCAACAGATTGGCTCTGCCTTTATATTTTAAAGTTGTTTTAACTGTTTCACTTAAAGTTTGGGTACTTCTCAATTAGAATTTTAACTGCCGTTAGGTGTTTAGTTAACAAACTCAATAATAATATGCCTTTCATTGAGAGCTGGGTATCCATAATATTACTACAGGGTCTCCTTTTGAAAAAAATTATTCCCTCTTAGAAATTTCACTAAGAAAAATAAGCTTAAACTTGAGAAAGAAAAGTTCATGTCAAAGCAGGACTGCAGCCTTTTACTTTTACTTTGCAGATTACACAATGAGTTCATTTTCATTCCTGTGGTCTAGAAAGAAGTTGGGTGGAAGGGATCTTCAAAGAAAATAGTTAATGGTATTTGATAGTATTTCTCCAAATATAAAACTTTTCAATTTAACTGTAAATTTTTCACAGAGTGGAGGATCTCTCCACAGAGTGAATGGACACTACTGTCCTTCTAGGACGTGGTGAGAGCGTTTATCTGCACAGATGATCACACATAGGAGATGGAATTCAGGGTTTTGACTCTAATTAGGTCTGAAATAAAAAGAATACAATGTTAGGTAGTTGAATATACACACAGGTGTTTTTCCTACATTCTTTCCCCTCTTTTGTCTGTTTTCCTCTCATTCTCTGAAAAATATAAATTAAAAAAAACCCCAGTCTTCATTAACTTTTTAAGCATTATGAAGAAATCTCCCAAATAAGTTCACTAACAACAGCTTACTTGGGAAAACTTTAAAGCTATCAAAACCAAAAAGAACAACTTAATTTAAAAAATCATTGTAATCCACCATCAAATAATTAAAACTTAAATAGAACATTAGTCCATTCAGTTAGCTACATCCAAATTATCCTCTTCATCCACAGGGACCTCCATCTCCGAAGCAGCATCCCTCAGCTTTTGAACCACAAAGACCTCGACAACTTCTGGTGAGGAGAAAACGTAAATCTCTCCAGCACTACTTCAGTTTAAGCTTTGCCTGGTATAAGAGAGCATGCGCCAAACACATTTCATGTAAATTTGGCTTGACCTTTGCAAAGCCTTGTGCTGCTTTATGGGAGAGGGTGGTTATTTGGTACAAAATCCAATCTTTTCCCTTTTTGAAATTAGACCCCTTTTATTTATGATATTATTTTATTAGAGTTCAGATCAGACTGGGAAATCTTTGTAGACTTTTCTGTGAATTTGTCACAGAGTGATCCTTAACTGAAATAAGCAGAAGTCAAGTTATCGTTTTGGAAATTTCCCTAAGAGATAGGTATTCTAAATTACTTTCTATTATCCTGTCTACCATCAATATTATATACTCTAGTTTAATTCTTCATCCCAAATATTAGAATCTTAGTTTCCTTTTGCATTTCCAAAGACAGTACTTCTCATTTTCCCAAGTGATTTATTTTAGCTTTTAGGGAGTTTCTTGAGTTTTTGAATTTCCATGGTGTAATTTCTTATAGGACTGATAATTTCTCTTACCATTTTTCCTCCCCTCTGTGGGGTGTCTGTATGTCTGCAGACTCTGTTTATATACCATTTGCTTCCTGGACGGTAACATAAAAATCCATTATAATTAAATGACTTCTGTTTTTTGTTATGACATTCATTCCATCTGAGAAACCAGTTCACATAAAAAAAAAATCAAATTTAAATCTTTAAGCAGGAATGAAATCGTATTTTTAAATCCATTACAAACTCACTAGTGTATATATGCCAAACATGTTTTAACAGGAATGGGTTCAGTTCATTGAAATTTATGCCTAAGAAAAGAGTATGTAGTCTTGATGAACAGCTGCAAAGACAGCTGACCTTTTGTTAGAGGTTATGGATTTGGTAACTTTTACCTTGAAATTCCCAAGTTTTTGCATGCATATTGGGTGTGATTTTTGCATAGTGAAAAACTCAACATACATTGATATCAGGAACATTTGCATAAATAGTAGGAACTTACGATTAATGAAATGCTCAACTCTAATCATATTTATCTATTCCATTTTCAATGAGAGGGCTAAAACAATGAAAGGGTCTCAATGAAATGTCTATCTTGTGGGACTTCGTTATGTTTGATGCTGTATTTAAAACTTCATAAAATTTTGTTATGGCCTTGTTTCTAGTCTAACCTTCAATAGCTGTATTTTCAGCCTTTCAGAAAAATTTCTGTCTTAATAGCAGTACTCAGGAATGCTCTTTATTTGATGTCTAAATGTGTTCACAGAGTATTAGAATTGTAAAGTTAGAATTAGTATGATTATGAAAGAGATGTTTATAATTTCTTTAATATTAACTTTTAACTCCTAAAAGGCTATAGTATGTTTTCAGTATTACTAGAATGATCATATTATTTATTGTCTAAATAAGGACCCTTTGAGAGTGAAAAGTTGTTCTATTAGTTATTATTATGACAGGACAAAAGGCCTAACCAGCACATGTGGTCACCCTAAGTATAACCCATTTGACTGTGGTTATGATGTACTTAAAAAATTTTAGAAAGAAGTATGTTAAATCAGTAGTTATCAATTTTGTGTGTGTATCAGAATCACTTGTAAAGCTTTCTTGAAATGCATGTATGATTTCAAACCCCCCGAGATTCTGATTTACTAGGTTTATCGTGGGGCTTGGGAATCTGTTTCTTGTTTCAGTTTCAGTGTTTATTCAGATGGATAATCAAGGTGAGAATTGCAGATATAAACCGGTAATTCCTACTTTAAGCAAATGTAAAGAAATTTCCTCCTTTATAGTCTATTGGTTATGATAATTCATGTGAAAATCTACTTCATTAATTGGGGTCTATTGATAATTTCTTTTGTCTAGAATAAATGAGGGCAAGATGAACAGTAATACATTGCTGTTACATATGTAATTAACTTGTTATGGCAAACATAAATGTTATGGGTAACATTTACTATGTAAAATGTCTTCTAGTGGCTAATTTTATGTTTTGCCTGAATAGTTTCTGAGTTTTAATTTTTTTAACTTAGGCTTTTACACTTAAAATGGGACTGTATAGTATGTTCATTAACTCTGTATATACTTTTAAAGAAGAAATAGAAATGTGGTTGTTTATATTGTTAGAAGATGGTAGTATATTCCTTAACTCCTCTGGAATGGAAGACAGAATTCACATTCTATAATCACATCCTTGGATTATTTTGTTAACTGTTTATAACTTTGAGCTAGTATTCTATTCATTATTGAATTAACATAACAGATATATATGCAAAAGGAAAATATATTTTTTTCCAGTTTTATTCTTTGAGAAATAGAAAATAAAATGAGATACTAATAGTAAATTTGGTTATCTGAAAAATTATTTGTGAGACAGATCACTGTCATGGAACAATGTTAATGCTTAATCTGCTTATAGTCTTCTGAATTAAGTTCTTCCAGGTCATATTAAATTTTCCCCTAACTTTGAATAAGTTTTTCTTTGTAATCACCATTTCAAGTTCAGTATTTAAGTGTTCTATAAGGTCATCGTGAGGTATAAAAAGGTAAATAGGCCAGGTGTGATGGCTCATGCCTATAATACCAGCACTGTGGGAGGCTGAGGCAGGAGGATTGCTTGAGGCCAGGAGTTCGAGACCAGCCTGGACAAAGCGAGACCCCTAACTCTACAAAAAAAAAAAAAAATCCATACAAAATTAGCCTGATGTGGTGCCACTCACTATAGTCTCAGCTACTCTGCAGGCTGAGGCAGAAGGATTTCTTGAGCCTAGAAGTCAAGGCTGTAGTGAGCCATGATCACCTACTGTACTTCAGCGTGGGTAACAGAGCGATATGCTGTCTCCCCAAAATAATGTAAAATAAAAATAAACCTGGTATTCGTTGAGGAGCTTAGTTAGGGTCTAATATTCTGTAACTATTTGAATGGTTCCCCCTGCTGGCATAACTGATAATTGTGACCAAATGCAAGTTTAATTGCTAACAGAAAAAACTAGTTTGAGCTTTTCTTTCATTTTGTGAAAGGATGCAACAGAGCATGTGTTTTTGTATGTATTTGTTACTCAGATGAATGAAATGACTTTAAAACACTGGGGCTTGATCTGTTGTTTGATTGGATCATCTATTAAACATGGGTAATAAATAATACCCCATGTTGATATAACCCTTACAATTAGATTATCAGTTGTTTTAAACTAAACAAAGAAAATTAATGTGGAAAATCAGTGGAAATATTTTTTCCCACATAGAGCATTCCTCAGGAGGAAATATTTTTTAATGTTCTTATTTAATATATTTGGAACTATCAGATGAATTACAATTTTAAGTGATAATTATAGGAGTAAATGAATGTTAACTTAATAGTTGGTTGCACTCAGAGTTGGTAGTAGAATACCTCTGTTTTTGAAGTTTCTGTTTATATACTACTCTTATGTGTGTTTGGAAGTTAATATTGATAAAACCATTTATAAGTAAGTATAATGTCATGAGAACTAATCTAATGATTGAGAATACTGATGAAGGACTGAAATGTAACTATTATTCTTTTAAAACTTTTTTCTAAAGAAAGTTGTACATTGTAGGCCAGGTGTGGTGGTTTAATAATCCCAGCACTTCAGGATGCCGAGGCAGGCAGATCATTTGGGCTCAGGAGTTTGAGACCAGCCTAGGCAATATAGTGAGACCTCATCTCTACAAAACAAATAAATAAAATAAAATGAAAAAATTACACGAGTGTGGTGGCACATGCCTATAGTCCCAGCTACTCAGGAGGCTGAAGTGGGAGGACCACTTGAGGCTGGGAGGTGAAGGTTGCAGTGAGCCAGATTGCACCACTGCACTCCAGCCTGGCTGGGTGAGAGTCGACCCTATCTCTTATTAATTAATTAATTAATTTGAGACTGTCTCTTCAAAAGAAAAAAATGTCCGGGCGCGGTGGCTCAAGCCTGTAATCCCAGCACTTTGGGAGGCCGAGGCGGGTGGATCACGAGGTCAAGAAATCGAGACCATCCTGGTCAACATGGTGGAACCCCGTCTCTACTAAAAATACAAAAAATTAGCTGGGCATGTTGGCGCGTGCCTGTAGTCCCAGCTACTCAGGAGGCTGAGACAGGAGAATTGCCTGAACCCAGGAGGCGAAGGTTGCGGTGAGCCGAGATCGCGCCATTGCATTCCAGCCTGGGTAACGAGAGCGAAACTCCGTCTCAAAAAAAAAAAAGAAAAAAAAAGTTGTACATTGTAATCGGTTAATCACATAATACATGACTTTTGTTTTAAAGCTTATATCAAGGACATAAGAAACATAGCTTGTTTTACTTTAATATTGTTAGCTTATGTGTTTGTTAATTAAAAATATTCAAAAATTTTTAATCTTAATGTAAGTATTTAGCCTTAAATCAACAGTTTTATTTGGTGATTTTAAATGGCTAGTTTCTATTTTACTGATAAAATTATACATAGTTATTGATTTAGTATTGATTATAACTTTAGATAAAGATGTGTATATTTACGAAACACAGTTGGTGCATGGAATAATGAATGTACCTTTTTTATACTTCTCCTTTTGTGCATTAGGCTACTGTGGAGCTGATATCAAGGCCCTGTGCACTGAAGCTGCCCTGATTGCGCTGCGGAGGCGTTATCCCCAGATCTATGCTAGCAGTCATAAACTGCAGCTGGATGTTTCCTCAATAGTGCTTAGTGCCCAAGATTTTTACCATGCAATGCAGAATATTGTGCCTGCTTCCCAGCGTGCTGTGATGTCTTCAGGGCATGCACTGTCCCCCATCATAAGGCCACTGCTGGAAAGAAGCTTCAATAACATCCTAGCAGTCTTGCAAAAAGTGTTTCCTCATGCTGAAATTAGCCAGAGTGACAAAAAAGAAGGTATTGTAAACTACTTTTCATATTGTTAAAATGAAACAAGTACAGGAATAAATAAATATAGTTTTCTCATAAGATTATGTGTCACTTTTGTAATATTATCTATTTTATTTAATACTGTATATTCCAGGCCTGGCATATTGCCTGACATATGGTAGTTGCCTGGCAAATGTTTGTAAGACAAATGAATAAATGTTCACTTTTGGGACATTCTGATCATCTTAATATAGGGCTATTATAATCTTTAGAAAGTTGATTATAATGATAATAGGTTAACCTTTAAAGCCCTTAAATTGTCATTTATTACTCCTTTTTTTTTTTTTTGAGATGGAGTCTTGCTCTTGTTGGGCCAGGCTGGAGTACAATGGTGCCATCTCGGCTCACTGCAACCTCCGCCTCCTGGGTACAAGCTATTTTTCTGCATCAGCTTCCTGAATAGCTGGGATTACAAGTGCCTGCCACCACACCTGGCTAATTTTTTTTTTTTTTAATTTTTAGTGGAGATGGGGTTTCACCATTTTGGCCAGGCTGGTCCTGAACTCCTGACCTCAGGTGATCCACCCGCCTTGGCCTCTCAAAGTGCTGGGAATACAAGCATGAGCCACTGTGCCCTGCCTCTTAATCCTCTTAACAGGCTTACAGGTGAGCACTCTGATTATATAGAAGCGGAGAGTGGAAGATGTAGGCTGGTAATTTATTTAGTTATTGAGATATAGTCTCATTCTGTCATCCAGGTTGGAGTGCAGTGGCGTGATCTCAGATCACTGCAACCTCTGCCTCCTGGGTTCAAGTGATTCTCCTGCCTCAGCCTTCCAAGTAGCTGGCATTACAGGTGTGTGCCACCACACCCAGCTAATTTTTTGTTTGTTTGTTTTTAGTAGAGATGGGGTTTCACTGTATGGGTCAGGCTGCTCTCGAACTCCTGACCTCAGCTGATCTACCCTCCTTGGTGTCCCACAGTGTTGGGATTACAGACATGAACCACCACATCCAGCCTGGTAATTTAGTTAATGTAAGGTCATTCAGTAAGTTCTGGGGCCTGCCTCAACCCAGGGAGCCTGACTACAGAGCCCTTGCCCTTACCTATGCTGCTATAATGCTTCTTTGGATTAAACTCATCATTTTGTTGTTATTGGTAGGGCACTCTGTAGTGTGCAGTGCTGATAGGAGTGTGAGGTATTGCTAAGGGAGTAAATAAGAACCTGACTGTAGAGGGTCTAGAGTTGTATCAGGTCTCAAGATTGTACTTTGTACCTGAGATACAAACAGAAAACTATCTTTAAAATATCACTCCTGGCTGGGTGTGGTGGCTCATGCAGTGTAATCCTAGCACTTTGGGAGGCCAAGGCCGAAGATCACCTGAGGTCAGGAGTTCAAGAGCAGCCTGGCCAATATGGTGGGACTCTGTCTCTTTAAAAAATAATAGTAATTAAAAATATTAAAAACATCAAAATTTAAAATTTAAAAATTAGCTTGACATTCTAATCAGAGTATAAGGCTTGTAAACTTTGAAGGGAAAGTAATGTCTTTTGATTATCTTGATTTCTCCAGTGCCTAGCACCTGGTCTGGAATGTAGGCTGCACCAAACAGAAAATTATTCAGAGAATTATACTAACATTAAAAATATATGTAGTAAAAATTATGAATATTGTTCAATGAATTCTGTCATAAATATATTTTTCAGAAACTTTAATTGTTTAGTGACAGACTCACATAAGATACCACATGGAATACCTGATTTCTTAAATTTGGCAGACAGAGTGGGGAACGACTATTTTATTGACTATCTATGAGCCAGCCACCATGCCATGATTTTTGAATTTTTTATTTCTGTATTTCATAACTGGAAATGTATTTCATATGTATTTTATGTACCAAAACTTCCCCAAAAAACTATGTCACCTTTAGAAAATCATATAAACCTCATCTTTCCTTCAGAGAGATTATCATAGCTCTTTATCTCCATTTGTGAATTACCAATTTATAGCATTATTATCTGTTTTCTTATAACTTTTTTTTGTAAATATAAAGAATACATTAGATCCTGTTAGTAGAACTAGTTGACATGAACCAGTGGAGAAGAGCAACCAAAATTTTATTTGATTATCAATAATGACTTTTAGCTATTTAGTTATATTATTTGTTCTGGCTTATTTTGGCCTTTAATACTTTTCTTAGACAAATATCATTTCCTTGTGTATGAAATTATCCTCAAAAGATACTCAGTTATTTCCTAGATTAATTTTTAATTAATGACTTGTACTAAGTATTTAGCTTTTAAAAGCCACTTAAAAGCTCTGTCTGCCAGCACAATTTAGTATCTCATTTTAGAAAGCATCTGTATATATATATTTTTGGTTTGTTTTGAAAGGGTATGATTTCTCTTTATCTTAATTCTCTGTCATATCCTGTACACATGAAGCATTGCTTTTTATTGAATGAATTGTCACTTTTGATTAGGTGTGTTTGAAGTATAGCTGTTCATACTTTAGGTGGTAGTCTAAAGCTTTAAGTGTTGCATTCTCAGTAGAGATTTTAGTTCCAGTTAGTTCCCTGGGTGGTAACCTAAGGCCCATAGAGACACTAATGCTATGTAAATTAATATCTTTTTAATATTAGCTTTGACGGAATTTCTGACTCCATCTTAACTAGACTAAGACTTCCTTGACAAGGTGTATCCTCTTTAAAAAATAAGAGTCAGTTTATTCCTTGTTGCTTTTATAAGAACTGGCCTTGACTCAACTAACCTACTAATTAAACTAAAGATGAAATGGACGGGTTTTGGTCAAAATTAAGTCAGAGACTTTTAGTTAAATAGTTGGGGTTTTATGAGAGTGCCACTTGTTTTCTAGACTTGTTTTCTTTTTTCAGTCAGTCAGCGAGTTCTCCCAAATTACATCTCATAATACTTCAGTAGATAGTCTGTAAAAATATTATATTAATTTTGTTTGTAAATTATTTTAAAAACTGCAGTTTGTTAATTTGCCTGTATTATACTTGATAGATAACTTATTAGTTAATGTCGTTTGATTTTTAACCCAATTTTTCTTAGCTTTGGTAGGGCACTAATATTAAATGACTTTATAAGCTTCATAACCATTGTGATTTTCTTAAACAGATATAGAAACTTTAATTTTAGAGGATAGTGAAGATGAAAATGCTTTATCAATTTTTGAGACCAGTTGTCACTCAGGATCACCAAAGAAACAGTCATCAGCTGCTGCTATACATAAACCCTATCTTCATTTTACAATGTGAGTAATTTATATCAAATTTCTTTGTATTTAGAGCGATATTTGATACTTTATGATTAGAATTATAGTATATTTTTACTCATGGTCATAACTGTGAGAGTATTGTTTTTCTGTTGTTTGGACACAGTTCTGGAAAACTTTTACTGTGTATTCTTTTTCATGTAATAATTAGTTTGTTGGTTAACACTTAAGTGTTTTTTCCTCCAAGTAGAAGAATCTTTCCTATTACTTTGACTTTTTTTTTTTTTTTTGAGGCAGAGTCTCACTCTGTTGCCCAGGGTAGAGTGCAGTGGCATGATCTTGGCTCACTGCAACTTCTGCCTCCTGAGTTTAAGTGAGTCTCGTGCCTCAGCCTCCTGAGTAGCTAGGATTACAGGTGTGTGCTACCATTCTCAGCCAATTTTTGTATTTTTAGTAGAGATGGGGTTTCATTGTGTTGGCCTGGCTGGTCTTGAACTCCTGACCTTGGGTGATCTGCCCACTTTGGGCTCCTGAAGTGCTGGGATTATAGACGTGTGCCACTGCATCCAGCCAAGTTTCCTTTTTTTAAAAGTGATGGTGTGAATTTTTTTCCTCCATGGAGGCAGGGGAAGGCTTAACCTTAGAAAGTCAACCCATAAGCTCTAACTTTATTGCTTTTTATTTAATCTAAAATGGGCAGAAATTAAATATTTGCCATGATCTGGGGTACTTTAATTTGTAGTGAACTTTAGATGATCATTTAGGTCTGTAAGGCTACTAAAGAGATTTTGGTTTAGAAATTGTTTGGTAATTAAATAACTTTTTGATGTTCTAGAAACATCATTAGTTTATACTTTCATAAGTTGGATCTTATGGTTTTTCAATTTACATTTACCCTTTTGTTATCTGTGTTAAAGCAGCTTTTGCTGTGTACTATAATAGGTAAACACTTACAGTACAAATGTAATTTTAAATGAAGAGACCAAACAGTTTTCACATACTAACACATCTTTACTTGGATTTACACAATTAGTGCCATAGTTGAAGGACCATAAAGCTTCAGTCAGGTAGATCTAATAGCACTTCTATTAGAAGAGGCTGGATTGTGTGTACTTTTAATATTTTGAACAAATTTAAGTCTCCAGCTTGAAGTTTTCCCATGTAGATTTTGGTGCATTGTTGATTTAATTATTTTCATTGATAACCCTTTCTTGTTTTTCATTTTTTAAAATGAGCCTAAATTACTTTCATCTTCTCTTTTTTTCTTCATATGTTCTTTAACAGCAAACTCTTCTATTAGTAAGTTTTTTTCTTCTTCTCCAGATTCTTTTATGCTCTTGGGGAAGTTTTTTTATAGGCTATTTCAGCATTTTACAGATTTGTTTTATTGATAATTATGGGAAAGCCATTTTTTTTTGCCTTTCACCTGGCTAGCCTTTCTCTCTCTCTGTCTTTCTCTCTTTCTTTGCCTCTCTCCCCCCCCTCCTTCCCTCCCTCTCTCTCCCTCCCTTCTTCCCTCCCTTTCCCTTCCTCCCTTCCTCCCTCCCTTCTCTCCTTCTCTTTCTGTGTGTGTGTGTGTGTCTGTGTTTGACAGTTATAGTTATTTGGATTTGCATTATGTAGCAGCAGAAACTAAAAGCTGTCAAAAGACGTGTTTAATTTTATAAGATAACTGTTGTCAATAAAGGAATATAGAAATAGATTTTGCTATTAGAAAATATGTCCAGTTTTAAGTTTGACTTTTTATTGAGTACATTTCCTGCCACTGATTTAATGTGAGACATTGGTATGGCTCATTTTGTTTTAGCTTTTCTGATTGGTTTAATTTTAGCTTTCTTTACATAAGCTTTTCTAGTTCATTGACTTAACTTTCCTACAGCTATATTCTAGAATAAACATTTTTAGATGTTTTAATAATATTATTCATTTATTTCTTTATTCACCTACCCATATATCCAATTTTTCTTTGTTTACCATATGCCAGGCATTGTATGAGACACTGAAAACATAAGTGTGAATAAGATATAATTCTTAGAGAAGGTCTCATTGTTGGGGGTGACAAACATTTCAATATGGCAAAAGTGCTATGAAAGCAGACTAATTCTGCTGGAAGTCTGGCAAGTTTTCACAGGAGAAATAGTGATGTTTGCTGTCTTTTGCAGTATGAAGGGATGGGAGTCTGCATCTGAGTGCTTTTTACAAATTAGATATGTGTTTGGTATGTAAAGATCTTGTGCTTCATATTCAGTAATATATATAGGCCTCTCGGGAATCATATTGCGTTTGTGGTATCATTTTATAGATGAGGAAACTGAAGCATACAAAAGTTAATTAAGTTGCCCATGATCATCTTTCTAGCAGGTGGCAGAGCCAGGCTCTCTGTGCTCTTTGTTTCCTAAGATAATATTTTTTCCAAATTGATTTCTGAGCTTAGTAAGTAGCTAGGGAATTGCATTGCTTCTTTAGGTAAGTTGAGCAATATATTTCAAACTCTCCAAGAAGTATACACTTTAGAATTAAGGCCTTTAGTATTGGCAACATACAGTCTTTTTTGTTTGGATTGTTTAGTTTGCTGTTTGAGCAAGATACATTAACGTTACAGATCAATGCAAAAAAAAAAGGTGCTCAGCCAGAAGAAAGTATAAGTTTAGTGCTGATTTTTAGTCACATTAGCCTGAGTATTGCTGGTGGATTTCTGAGAATAGTCTCCTGAAACAATGTTGAAACCTTTTCTTGTTCACATTTAATACAAAGGAGAAGTCAAGATGGTTAAGGTTTACCAATCTGATAGAGAAGCCTTATGATGGAAAATAAGTTATCTTTCTTACTTTATGTAATCGTAAGGGTGATTAGAAACAGAGCTTTCTGAGGTTTTCCAAATGAAAATAGCTTTGTTTTTTCTGATTAGAAAGATGGTATACACTGTAGAAAATTCAAGTAATAAAGAAGAGCATAAAGAAGAAAGTAAAAATTAAAGCCCCAGCACCTGCAGGTAATATTTGTTTAAGTTTTGATGACCACGCTTCCATGTTCTCTCTATGCATGTATAATGTATAGACTCATATATTATCTAGATTATATCCTCCTATAAGTTGTTAATATAACTTACTTTTTCATCCACTGTGTAGGGAATATTATTTCATGTCAGCATATGTTTAATATCATTATTTTAAGATAGCTGCCTAGTAGCTATCCATAATTTATAGACCCTTAATGGTAAAATTTGAAATTTTCAAGTTTCCTCTTTTCTAAACAATAGACTTGTTTCTAAGTATACATCTTTACACCATTATCTGATTCAAAGTGTAAGGTAAATTTTAAGAACAGCAATTACTGTGTCAGAGAGTATACACATTTAGCATGTTGCCACAGATAGTTAAATTATTTTCCAGAAGGCTTGTACCAGTTTATATTTCTCATACTAATATATGAAGGTGGTGTTTTTCTGCCATTATCAATTCTGAGCACTGTCTTTTAAAACCTTTACAAACCAGATAGATGAATGTAATATAGTTTTGTTTTGTTGAATTGTTCATTTGTTCTTTTGTATTCATTCACTCATTCAAATGTTTTGTGAAGTGCGCATTGTGTTCCAGACATTGTCCTGGGTACTCGGGATATGTCAGTGAACAAAATAGGCTAAGATCCTGGCCCTCATCGAACTTATATTTTTAAATGGAAGAGACAGATAGTAAAACAATAAATGCAATAGATTGCTAGATAGATAAAATGTTAGAAGATAAGTACTATGGGAAAAAATAATAGACAATAGTAAGAGGTTGGGGAGTCCCTGGGAGTGGAGTGAGTTACTGAATATTTTTGGGCACACATTTTGGCATATTTAGACCTACCGCATATAATTTCAGAAAAGTTGTGCTTTTTTCCACTAGTTGTGAGGATTATCAGTTTTCTTATCCTCTCATTGATAGTGCATATTAATTTTTAGTTTATTAATCTAACAGATAAAAGATGTCTGTCGTTATTTTCGTTTATATTTTCTCAATTTTTTTCCTCTCTGTGTTAATGACTACCATTTCATTCTCATGCCTAGATTGACCCTGTCCAGTGACCCATCTCCTCTTTGTTGTACCATTGATCTTTCCATCCATAGCTGGACTATATTTCCCCTTCTCTTCCCATGACTCTTGTGAGCCACCGTCCATTCAGTTGTCTCAGCTAGAATTTGACATCATTCTCAACTTCTTTCCTTTGCTTTCTTTCTTTGTCTAGTCAATGACCAAGTCTTTTTTATTTTTCTCACTAAGTAAGTCTCATGACAGGCTATTCCTTCTTCCTCTAGCACTTTTCTTGTAGAACGATCATTCATATCTCATGCCTGGGTTACTATAGCAGATGGCTGATTGATTATCTTTCCTCTCATTTGCCTTCTTTTAAAACCCATTCCCATACTGACATGCTGAAATAGAGTTATCTTCCCTTAACATGTATATGATTATCTTGCTCCTCTAAAGTATCTTAATGCTTCCCCATTGTCTTCAATACACATCCAATCTTTTAACATGGCTTACAAAACCCTTTGTAACCCTTTGTAGTCTAACTTAACCTTTCTTTTTCTCCCCCCAACCCTAGTACCTTTACTGCACCCCTCACAACATGTCCCGATACTTTAAACCAAACAAATAAACAAAACCAAAACTGGCTGTATGAACTGTATCAGTTACCCCAAAGAGCCATGTTCTTTTTAACCTCTGGTCCTTTGCACATCCTGTTTTGCAGTCTTGGAATTCATCTTTTATACCTCCAATCCGTGGGGTTTCTGCCTTGGTAACACTTTTCCAGAAATGCCTTCTATGAATGTCTAACTGGTATGGTATCTCCCATAGCACTGTGTATTCAAACAGGTATCACTTATTAATCACATTGAATTATGGTAATTTTTTTAACTAAATACCATCAATTATGAGCTCTGCGATAACACTAGTATTGTTTGATACTTAGGGTTAAGGCAGTCAGCATAGGAGGCATTCTATAACTATTAAATAAACACTTTAAAAAATTTCCTATTTCTATTTTCTTTT